GACAGTCGTGCGTTCGTAGCTCACGTTTTATATTATATTTATAATGTCTTAAAAGAGCATCGTTTAATCCTGAATAGTCTCGTTAAACTTCTGGCGGCCTTCTTGAATATAGAGTCCAAACCGATACAGGCCATATCTAGAAACAGGCGCCTCTCTCGTAAACGGACACTTATGGTGCTTCGTAGTCTACCTCCCTGACCGTCCTTACTGGTTGTAGGTGTGTGTACGGGTCCCTATATACAGAGAGTTGCCGGCCAACTTCAGGATTTGACGCCATTTAGTTTTCCAAATGGATCCTCTCACCCGGCTGCGTCCGCTTAAGTACAGCGCTGTAATGGATACGCCTGATAACAATGGTCCGTAAGTAATTTAATTAGACTAATCGTGCTTCAATAAACTCAAAATCTTACAGAGATTATAGCTAAGACATGTGTCTATGTGTAATCTAGATTTCTAGAAATGTCACTCAAATCGCATTTCGCGCCAATGATAATTTAATTGTACACTTTCTTACGGCCAAGCGTGCGTATCACTTGCGAAACAACAATGTCGTCCAGCCGACCACGTGACCGATTTTTCCGACTCATGTCATCGCCGCAACTCTCTGTATATAGGACCCATAGATGTGTGGGAGCTCGTGTTAAGCCGCACTACAGAGGAAGGGATGTATTGCGGGGGGCGTAGCTGGTGCTGCTTGACTGATATGTACATGTGCCGTTCTTGCGTGCAAGGTATGAGCGACGACTGAACCTTGAGCACGGAGTCTTCAACTCGCCACACTGTGCAGTTCTTTGCTGCTGAACAACTGCCATGCTGGTGTCGTGTGTAGAGATCCCAGCTCTGGTGCGATAGATAGATAAGGCACCCGCGTCACCCTCATTGTGTCGAGTGTCGCATTGTGATTTCATTCCTCGTACGTTAGTCCCCTACTGGTGCTTGCTTGCCTCTGTATCGTGACCACTGTCCTTTACATCATGTCACAGCTGATATCCTGGATCGTAAGATCATTGCATACATCTCTGGTCAGATTATTTGCCACTTTCTCTCTGCATTACTCCACTTTATTACGTGTAAGGAGAATGAGTCGTGTCAACCCTCATCCCTCCACTCGTGTAATAACTTCACAACATTATACGATTCAGTCTCGTCTAAATCTATCACTACGTTCGATATTTGGTTGGATTATATCACAGTTACGTAATCGTTTTTTTGTTGACACGCGACACAGCAGGGCCGGATCCAGGATTTTTAAAAAGGGTGGTGGGTGTCCAGGGAAGAAATAAAGGGGACTTTCCTGCTTACTTTTCTATGGCTGTTTTAAACAAGCTGACGAAGGGCCACTTTAAGGGGGTTTTTGAGGGACCTCCAAGATTTTTTTTAAAAATTGGTGCATATCTGAGCAGCCATCTGAGCAGTTAATTTTGTTGTCTAGAATGCAAAAATTTTGCAAGATCCGCGTCCCCGGACCGCCTCGGACCCTCTTTTGCCCAATTTCTAGGTTTTTAGAAAGAATTTACATAATATATAAGTAAATCTTTATCAGAAAACCTTAGCGCTCTAAAACAAGATTTTTTTATGGGAGACCATATAAGAGGAAGTGTGTGTTGCCGCTGCGTGCGTTGCTGTGCGTGCGAATAGCGTTCGTGTTGCGCGCAGACGTGCTGTTCGTGCGTCGCGCGTCGTGTATGGCTTTTTTTCCCTTTTTTGTGGTACAAGGCGGGGGTCCGGACCCCCTCGACCCCCCCTCTGGATATCCGCCCCGACACAGGCAGCCTCAGTGCGACGACCGGTCCTGATGACTGAACGCGGGTGTGTTTGTGTTTCACGCAGGAGCAGCCGGGGGGCGGTGTCACAGCAGGTCTGATCACTGCCAGGGCCCAGGTGCGTGTCATTGTTCGTGACATTAGTGGCAAGTTCTGCTGGATTCGTGAGTGCTTTACGCGCCACCCAACTACAAGGATGGGCCTCTATCCAGCCGGTGAGTGAGAGATGTTCGTCAGCTATCTCAGTGCTCGAAGTCAGCGGCCTTACGCGGAAAGATCGTAGAAGAAAATCATAGCGAACGAGGGAGAGAGATAAAACACAGACAGAGACAGAACAGAGAGAGGGAAAAAGACAGGCTGAGACACAGTGGCAGAGTAAGAGAAAAAGAGAAACAGAGAGAGAGTGCAGAAGCTATGAAACGACAGAGAGAGTCAGGGAACGAGGTGTAAAAGAGAGAGAGAGAGTGGGAGAGAAGGGGGAACATAGATAGAGGAAGCGAGAGAGGAGGAGATAGATAGAGGTAGTGAGAGAGTGAGAGAAAGAGAGAGAGAGAGAGAGAGAGAGAGAGAGAGAGGGGGGGACAGAGGGTGAGAAAGAGAGAGCGACAGAGGTAGAGGCAGCGACAGAGACAAAAGAGTGTGACAGTGACAGCCAGAAGAGAAGAGTCAAAGAGAGGAAAGAGAGAGAGAGCGACAGAGACAGACAGAGAGAAGAGGTAAAGAGAGACAGACAGAGAGGGAGAGACAGAGACAGAGACAGAGACAGAGACAGACAGAGATAGAGACAGAGCGTGTGACAGAGACAGACAGAAGAGAAGAGGCAAAGAGAGACAGAGACAGAGAGGAAAGAAAGAGAGAGAGACAGAGACAGACAGAAGAGAAGAGGCAAATAGAGGGAGAGCGAGAGAGAGAGAGGCAGAGAGCAGATGGACTGGTGCACTCGCAGAGGTCAGCTTGCATGAATCTACTTCACTCATTGGTTGGTTTTTGGACAGAAACCGCTGACTCCATGCTGGCTTCATTGGAACAGCGATACTCACACGACATCCTCGCGCTGAACGACCCGTTGCCACGGCGCACCAGCCAGCCCGCGAAGCCCCACAAAGAAGTGCCAGAGACTTAGACGAGATTCCAAAGTTTGAGGATTTCTGTGATGACAGTCACCGTGACATAATTCTAGACGATGGTCAGTCCATGCCTGCTAGGTGGCGCTGACGATGGTTGCGATATAGCTTAGGCAGTGCCTTAGTGATTTGCAGCTAACAATTGTTCTTGCCGCTACCTGTACGGCAGGGCCCGCTGATGGTGTTTATGACAACCTATGAAACATCAATCTTGGCCCACTAGCAGTTGGTAGTGTTGCACTAGCGATGTTGTGACAAAACTAGGCCAGTGTTTTGTTGATGGCTAGCTAATGCATAAATGCCCGTGACAAACGTTACCTGATGTTATGTACAAAAATAGCACTTACATCAAATGTCTGTCCCACCCCAACTAGTGTTCAGAGGTAAATGGTGAACGGTCACTTGATCGGAAGGCCCCCTATGTGTGTTTATCTCCTGCAGATGCCTACAGTATATTGCGCTGCACGAGCCCAGAGTGCCTCCTCTATCCGACAAAACCCCTCAAACATATCCTGCACCGCCGCTCGAGTAGGAATCACGGAACACGTGCGGAGAGCCAACACGCGGTCAAACAATGATTCTCAACCAGTAATGACTACGAGCATGGAATTTTACTTACAGGAAACACTGCAACGACACCTTGTACCGTGGCATGATGCCACGCACGCACTTACACGCAGGCAACGCTTGATATCACAGCAAGGCACCTACATTCATTGTACACAAATGTGCGCACATATTGCACAATACTCATTTTTTGACGCACAATAAAATGCATACGTATGCACACGCAGGCGGGAACATATACACATGCAGATGTATGGACACACAGAAATCTACATTCGTGCATACACTGCCACATACCACATGTGGACTCACGCACCTCAATGCAGCACACGCATCATGCAGGCACGATGTATGTGCATACCCATGCAGGGACACATAAGATGCCACAGACGTCTCAGAAACAGGCGATGAAGATTACGTACCAGCCCGGTGGGCACAAATGCACGCAAGCGGCGCACACAGGCAAGATGTAGCCACATATCTACACGTGACACACACCAAATGCATACACAAGCCAAGGATGTACGCACATGATCTACAACGTGGACATACAACAAATACGCACTGCCACAGGCAGGCTGATCTTGCGGGGCAGGTCGGGGAAGCTGTGCACGATGAGACGTGCGTGGTCGCAGAGCATCAGCAGACTGTCCGTCGCTACGCGCGCCACCGCCATGTTGTTGAACTGTAACGCCACGGCAACGAACGTTACTCGCCTGTCGGGGCAAACTTGCGTGACATATTCACGGTTCTCCTTCATCGTCTCTGTTATATTACATAGGTTGAGGTGCGTTTATGCCTAACATTTTGTGACCAATATCATTTGTGTGCCTTCGTAACCGCATTACCGAAAAAGTCATTTGAACTTTATATTATTTTTTTTATTTTGTAGCATTACATTTGGAGTAGTGATTATTTGGTTTGGGATTGACTAATATGCTAATATACTAATGCGGCTATGGCAGCATTAGGTGCGAAATCGCCCATATTATTTGTGTGCCTTCGTAACTTCATTACCGAAAAAGTTATTTGACCTTGGTCATTTGAAAGTGAATTTAATTTTTTTTTATTTAAGATTATTATTTTTATTTTGTAGTATTATACTTGGAGTAGTGATTATTTGGTTTGGAGGTGACAAATGTAAGCAGTGCCAGCAATGTCAGCTTGTTTACAGCAGTTGTACAAAGATGTAAGTGTGAAATTGGTTGAGGTGTGCCGAGACAGCTAATCATCTATCAGGCACACATATTTAGGATGTCTACCTGCATAGCAGGCTCATGTGTCTGCAATAGGCCGCCCGACAATACTATCTAATGCACGGCACCAATCCACCCGATCGTTCGTCACATGACAGCCCCGTGACATACTGCTCTAGTTCTGTCAAATTAGCTCCCCCATCAACCAATTGCAGGCATTGTTTCTATAGTAAAGTCGACAATCTGACATTATTCTGAGACACGATCGTTGCCTGGGTCTAGATCACAGCTGGTCGCACTGTTCACGTTGATGTAATGGGTCACGTCAAGCCTGATCATGTCAGCGACGATGGTGAGCAGGATTATACAGACGTGCGCGCAAGTGTGTGCACGCACGTACAATCAAACATGTTAGCAGTCACCTCTCTAGAACGGCCACCTCTCTATAAAGGACACTTTTGGCATTTACTTGCGGTTGGACTGTATAAGGCGTTTAGATGTCAACAGCCATGCCCGAGTGATGCACGGTACGCTACTGACGATGTAACAATTGCCGTACGCTACGATATACGTGAAGCAATGACGACGATAACACTTGCCCTGAGTGCGAGCAGCAGAACATCGAAAGCCTCTCTCATCTTGGAATGGAAGGTGGCATGAGTGAGTTCCTCGTACAGATAGATGCCGATGCTGCTGATCGCAATACACCTGTCAAACACAAGCGCAGCTGACATGTACACACATGCATCCACACACATGCACAAGCACACATCCACGTATGCACACACGCACATGCGATCTGGGGGACGCATCAATATTAGACACGCCATCGTCTTAACAGATAGTGAGTAGATTCTAGTCTTTTATGTGCTTATTGGTAGTTATCGAAATGAAGAAATGAAATATCTGTTAAATGCAAAATAAATACTAATAAGAAAACCCATTGCTAGTGTTACCGTTTCCATGATTCGTAGTTGATTTACTGTGCCATGCACCACATCCTATTTGTTTTGTTTTTTGAGATATTCTAATACAAATAATGCACAGAGTGTGAGAGTCAGAGAGAAAGAGAGAGCGGAGCCCGAGAGACAGAGCCCGGAAAAAGACGATCGAGAGGAGAGCGAGAGAGAGAGAGAGAAGAGGAGTGTGAGAGAGAGAGCAGATGAGAGAGAGTGTGTGAGCAGAATGAGCAGAGAGGAGGAGAGTGCTGTGGAGAGAGTAGAGGAGAGTGTGTGAGAGATGAGAGAGAGAGAGAGTGTGTGAGAGAGAGAGGAGAGGAGTGTGTGCGAGAGAGAGAGCAGATGCAGTGTGTGTGAGATGAGTGTTGTGATGATGAGCGATGAGAGACGAGAGAGAGAGAGACGAGGAGAGAGAAGGAGCACGAGAGAGAGGAGAAGAGGAGAGAGAGAGGAGATGAGAGGAGAGAGGAGAGAGTGAGAGAGGAGAGAGGAGAGAGAGATAGATGGAGAGGATCAGATAGAGAGACCAGAGCGAAGACAGCAGCAAAAATCAAGTGATGGAGGGTAGAGCGGAGATGATGAGAAGCAGCAAGAGAGAGAGAGAGAGCAGAAAGAGAGAGCAGAGAGGAGAGAGAGAGAGAGAGAGAGATAGAGAGAGAGCACAGCGAGCGATTGAGAATAATAAGGTGAGATGCGTAGTCAGTGAGCGTACCTAGCCAGTCAGCTGGCTCCTTGCAGCTCCACATCATATCAGCGCGGTTGATGATGCATGTCCTTGGCGTGCTAGCGTGAGCAGCTCCGGGGGGCGTAAGGCAGCTCGACACCGGGTGTGCCGCATGTCAGCGACGGCGTGTCTGCCGCACGGGCATCGAGCCGTACAGCGTTTAGCAACAGATGAGATAACCGAGCAGGTGACACGGCTCTCGGTCCTTTCGGCTCCTGCAAGAGCGACATACCTACTCGTCACTGATGTGCTGTCGGTGCGCCCCCTTTTCATTCTCACCATGCTTCAGCCTTCAGCATCAGTTTCACAGCTTCAGCGCATCAGGTC